TTTGGTGGCGCTGAGTCTTTTTTAAATATGCTGGTCTTTACCCAGCCTACATCTTCAGCACGGTAAGCAGTCCGCCTTTCAGGGGAGAGATCCATCGTCTCAGTAACAACATACCTAGGATTAATCGAAGCGTTCGACTTGCACGCAGCGTCCGCAACAGTGGAGTCGTCCGACGCGCACCCTTCAGGGGCCGCGTCCGCGGGGTCAACTTCTTCGGCGATCTCACCATCTTCATATTCATCAGCCTCTTGATGCTAATCTTCTCTAATTTAGGATCGGCTGGCTTCCCCGCGCGTCCCGAATGCCAGTCTCGATTGAACTGCTTCAGGTGGTGAATAGGTGCGAGGTTTTCCCATATCTGAATATATTGGGCTATCTAACTGTCTGCTGCTTGCTCGTAGTCGGCTTCCGTCAACAGCCTCTTACATGGCGTTTTATTAGGATCGGTGCAGCACCCTCGAACATCACCATGAGACCAAACCCAAGGCGCCCGCATAAAGTTCGGGCTTCTTGACGGGCGCCCCATGGGGCAGCCGGGCCAGCGGTCTGCGCGCGCAGGGGCACGTGCAACAAACACCTCTATAGAGCTTCCTTTCCTCGATGACAGCTCTCTCGTGGTCGCGCTTGACAATCTTCTCTTGTGTTTTAACAGGTCCAGCCCTTGTCGAGCAAATGATCTTGCCGTTTTCACCTCGCTTAATAGTACCAAGAGAATATCAGCGACGGATCCGATGCCCAGTCCAACCCTGGCCCCGCCAATACTGCATTGTTTCTCGGGAAATGCGTCGACGAGCCAGTCCGGCTTCCGCGCAACCAACAAGGCGCTGAATTCCGCCATCCCATCTGAATATTCTTCTCGCGGTTGGTCATCTTGAGGCCGTTGCCCCCGCAGGCGCCCCCTCCTCGGGGGAGTGACAGGCCCATTGGCCCGCCATGGCGGGGCCTTTGGAGCCCCCGCATCAGGGGGGTGAGGACTCTGAAGACCACTCGAGCGAGCGCCACTGGAGCGGGCACGCGCACGATCAGGCGAGCGACTGGGAAACCGACCGCGACGTATCATGCGGCCACTGTCTTCCCACTCTTCGCCCTCGTCGTCGTCGCGGTACTTGTCCATCCAGATCTGGCGGCTTGCCGATCGCTCCTGGCGGCCCATGGACCGATCTGAAACAACAAAAGTATATTGAAATTCTCCGCGATGACCAAGCTCGCATTGATTACGCCCAGATAAATCACTGGCGTCTCGAGGGCTTCCCCGCAAAGGATCATCATCACTTAATTCCATATCTGTCGGATTTCCAATAACCCGAGGATAAAGCATCAACTGTATCTCCTCGTCTGCTGCAGGAATGGTAACTTCTGAATCCGCGGGCGCCCCCGCCACGTCAGCATCTCCTGCGGCGGGCACGTGGAAGTTCTCGACAAATTCAACATCTGCAGTTTACCCCGCGATGCGCATGCCAGCAATTCTGCCAAATCGATGTCGCCGTGGCCAGTGAACACCTCCTCGAACAGCTCGCCGGCGAAATTATCGAGGGCCATGCTGGCGCTGAGATATCTGGCAGCCATGATATAAACCACTGTGGCTGAGCTATCGGCAGGGTCAGCTAAAAGAGACCCCCAGTCAACATACTGCATGTCGGAATCTGAATGAGCCAGATGCATTGACGGACCCCTACCCCTTCCATCACCTTGAGGGCATTCGCGTCGGTGATGCTGTGTACTGCGGCATATGTCGCACTCCATAGATTTACCGTTGGCATCCTTTGGGTTTCCCGGTCGTCCTTTGCTTTTTCCCGATGCATGCCTGCGGATTCTGCCAGTACCTAAGAACATCTTCATACTGTGGTCCAGTAAGAGATGCGAAGGATGCTAGTATGCCTCTACCATGCAGTCGCCGACGCTTACTTCTACCTTTACTTCGACCCCTGCCCTTTTCTTTGGGCGATCGTCGCACGATACGCCTCACCTTTCGGACTGGTTCTTCATGGACCTCCGCCAGCGACGCCTGTGTTTCTGGAAGCCTAAAAATAATCGCTGCGCTTGTTGCTCTTCAGTAAGGTATCTAGGCATATCCGAGTAATCAAGAGCTGCAGCTGCGTCGTCTGACGACTCATCGGCATCAGTGCCGAACTCGAAGTCGGACTCGGCGGTTTGCCCCGCTGGGCCCACGAGGGCCATGGCTTGCGCGGAGGGAGCCGCATCAGGCGGCCCGATGCCTGGCCCGGGAGTCTTGCGACCCCAGGCCGCTCCACCATTCTGAGCCAGCAGTGTAGCGGTCTCTGTTGGTCGTGGATCACCATTCCAGACTTCGCTGGCAGGCTGCCCTGCGTTAGCCTCCACGTGGAAGGTCTCGGTTCGGTGACCACGACTAAGAATACCACCAGTATTGCCGGGGTTCTCTCAGCAATGTAAGCATATGACCTCACGCGTTCAAGTAGAGCGTCAAATTGTCGTTAGTCTCTCGGCATATGGTGGATGAGAGGTCGCAAGAGCTGCTGTGCACAAGATGTCCCCACTCCCAGAGCTCTGAATAGAATCGCTGTTAGGATTCGGAAGTTGGGGAAGCTGAAGCCGGCTGTTTCAGCTTCATAGCGGCTATCTAAAAACGCGCCAAACGTATGGTCGATGCGTTCTCCCGCATGGACTCGGAAGTCAATGGGAGCAGTACAAGAGTTGAGTTGGCGCTCCTCTTCTCAATTCTCGAACTTCGTGCTCAAGAGGAACATGGTATAGGTGGCGCCGTCAGTATGGCGGCCGCCTATGTTGACGCAAAAGTTGATAACTGTTTGAGGGGCTCTCATGCCCATGGTCCGTGCGAGACCTCCTCCCAAACCTCGCTGCATAGCTGCAGCCTGTTGGGAGGGCGTCATATTGCGTGTGGTCACGTTGATCCAGGCATGTGCTTCGCGGACGAATTCGCGACAGGGTACTTGACCGGCTGGGCCCCAGTGAAGGCCGGTCGTTCGTGCGTCGTCTCCACCACGCACATGTCCTACCGCACACCCACGAGCGACCCAGGTGAGCCCAAAGATAGTAGCACCAATCCAATGGCCTCGTAGGTCGCAGTCGGATGCAAACGGTTGGGACTTCCGTTGGGCAGTCGGAAGTCTGCATGGGGTTGGAGGCGGCAGTATATAATATCGCATGTTTCCACGCATGATATCCTCGAAAAAAATTCCCATTGGAGTAGGTGGGTGGACTTCAGGAGTGTAAAAGCGCGGGGATGTAGGATGTAAGTAAGAGGCCTCCGCTTGAGCAGAGGTATCGCTGCAAGTGTCCTTTCGAAGTTGCGTACCTATGTACATTCCTCCGCGCAAACCCACTGCATCCGATGTTCCACCATGGCCGTAGTCCACCAAATAGTGCCGTGGATAGTGAGGAGTAGAGCGAGAGCTGAACACCATAGGCCAGCTCCGCTACCAAGTTTGAAAGGGGCTGGGAGGCCCAGCCAGCAGCTTCGCCTTAGGCGGAGCCAAGCTCCAGCTCTGTAGTACCGTAGCAACGATAGTCCCAATAGGAGTGGATGTGCCATCCTAAGCAATAGGAAGATCCTTTGGTCTCGATAGCGATTGTGTGCCTCGCGGTGAGGCAGTCATATTTGGGCGGCAGGCTGCTTGAGCCGACGCGGCCGCGGGCGCACGCTCGCTTCCGCTCCTTACGTCCCTCAGCTCGCTTTAGATTCAAAGAGGGCTCCAAAACGGGGCAACAGGGCCCCGAAAAGTGAAACGTACATTTTCAACACATTCGCTTCTTGGGCTTTCACGAGGCCCACAACGGCCCAATAAACTTCCAATATCGACCCTCGCCAACCCGAAGAGGCCCCCAAGAAGGCTCCAAGACGGCTTCCGGGCGATCCACGAAGGCCCCAGAAACCATAACAACGGCCCAGGGAAGCCGCAAGACGGTCCCAAGAGGGGTCCAAAACTGGCCAAGAAGGCTCCCAAAGGCTTTCCAGACGGCCCACGCGGGGGACGATTCGGTCCAAACCGCCCAAGATTGCCTCCAGACAGCCCCATGGGCGTCCAACACGTTTGCATACGCGACCACGAGGCGCTCCAAGCAAGCCTCCAGAAGCAAAAACCGTCTCATCCCATGGGAAAACGTACATTTTCAGCATAGTCGCTTCTTGGGCTTCCACGAGGCCCACAACGGCCCAGTATACCTCCAAGATCCACCTCTCCAAAAAGGCTCCACGACGGCCTCCGGGCGCCCCACGAAAGCCCCAGAAACCATAGCAACGGCCCGGGGGAACGACAGGATGGTCCTAAAAAGGCTCCAAAACGTGGCCTCACAGGCTGTCCGGACAGGCCACGCGGGGGACGATTGCTGCCGCCCCAAGGGGTCGGCGGCGTGGCGTAAGCCAATGAATCAAGTTGCATCACCGCGCACATAGGGAGTCGAAGTGTAACCCCTACACAAGGGGAATCGACTTGTAGCCACCCACAAAGAAAACCTTTGTGTGACTGTAACCCCCACACAACAGGAATATATGTATAACCACTCAGAAAGCGGTAATTTACTCACCACGAAGGGATTCCACCATGCCCCCTTTGCACCTGAAGCCCGAAAACCCACAGAAGGAGCACCACACACAAGACGACGCAACATCCTTATGATAAACCTTGAAAACGCAGACCCTTGCTAGTGTCCCGAAACTGGGTTATTCTCCCCCTCCATGAGATTGCTTGGTGGTGTCGCGAGCCGTCAGAGCGTCCCAGATGGCCCAAGATGGCTCCAAGAGGGCCCCCGATGCTCCAAGATGGCCCCCAAGATGAATCAAAATAGCTGAACATGGCCACTCCCCTCGCGACACCCCCTCGTGCGCGCTGCCAAACTGGTTTCAATCCATCACTCGGGCCTCCAGTGAACCACAGGACGCTCTCGGCGAGGCGCAGCTGCTGGCAAGCATCCCGAGGCAAAAAAACTTCCGAAAGGCGTCTGCAAGCGTCCGAAACCTCGACCCCCGCCTTTGTGCGCGCCGCCGAGGAGAGGCGCGGAACCTGGCACGATCAGGTGGACATCCAGCACGACCCGGTGCGCGTCCTGTTGGCGGGCGCGGGGGCGGCGCGAGGTCGCGGGAGCAGCATGGTACTTCTATCGGCCATGCCGTGCTCGTGCATCTTCCTCTTTGCCCTCCGCCTCCCAGACTCTCCCCGATCATCCCCGCCCGATCCGTGATCCTCCCTGAGTCTCCTCCTTCTCGATCCTCCTCGATCCTCCACCTCCCCCTCATCCGCCTCCTCCTCCTCCTCCTCCTCCTCCTCCTTCCCCTCCTCCTCCTCATCCTCCTCCTCCTCCTCCTCCTCCTCCTCCTCCTCCTCCTCCTCCCCCTCCTCCTCCTCCTCCTCCTCCTCCTCCTCCTCCTCCTCATCCTCCTCCTGGGCTTTCCTTCTCGTCCTCCTTCTCCGCCTGCTCCCTCCTCGTCCCTCCTCCTCCTCCGCCTCCTCGCCGTAGCCATTTTGGCTCAAGGGGCCTGCTCCTGAACTGCCCAACCCCGCTCGAGCGCTGCCAGCAGGTTGCTGATTTGCAAGCACGGCATCCTTGCGCAAGGTGCCTGTATGTCTGCATGTCTCTCCACATTACGGCGCCATTGCTTGGCGTAGCCGCGCCCCGTGGTGGGCCCGCGTAGGGCCGCAGTCATTTGAGAAGAGGAGTGGCCAGGGGTGGAAGCCGTACGACTAGGAGTAGCAGGCCTAATTACAGCAGCTGGCGCTGCTCGAAGTGCGGACGTTTGTGCTTCTTTTGAGTGCGGAGGCTTGTATTGGGTACTACGGCGATGATCGCGATGATCGTGATGATGGTGGTCTCCCAGCTGGCGGTTTCAGTGGGGTCCGCGGAGGTGCTCCGCAACCGAAGGGAGGTGCAGACCCCCGTCTGCTGGACTCTCTTGGGCGCTCTCGTGCGCTGCGCCCTTTTGTTCCCCCCGCTGACGTTTTTCCAAAGGCCTCGGGAGCGGAATCCACACTTCCAACACGGCCTAAGACGGTCCCGGGGCCCGTCTTGGAGGCCTTTCGGGGGCCTCTTCGGCCGTCTGGGAGGCCCTGGGGGTCGGCCGCAAAGGCCAAATGACTGGAAAGCCATTGCTGTTTGCATGGTGTTCTCAAGAGGCCGCAAAGATCGTCCCAAGACGACCCGCGAGGCTCCAAGGAGGGCCCAAGAGGCCCCCAAGAGGCCCGTGGAGGGGAACACGAACTGACATTTCAAGCCCTTTTCCCTAAAATGGCCCCCGAAACCACAAGCAGGCACACCAGATGCCTCCAGGAGCCCCCAAGAGGCACACAGAGGCCCTCAAGGCATCTCCAGAAGTTCCCCGAAAGACCCCGAGAGGCGCCCAAGAGGCCCCGAAAAGCCTCCCAAGAGTACCAATAGGCGTCTAAGAGGCCACTTGTCCACGACCCAGGCACGATGATGGGATGGGCCGAAGGCAACAAGATATACGTTCACACGTACCTGCACACAGACGTACATACATGTATGCAAACTTGTGCCCTGCAGTAGTGCTCAGCATCACACGCCTGCTCTCAAAAGAGAACGCCCAAAGCTGCTCCAACTCGGCCCTTGGGCACACAACTGGCAAACTTTTCGATCGGCGTCTGGCCGCGCCGACGGGCCCTTCAACGGCCAAACAAAGCGCCTGTGAAGCGCGACCAAAAATCATTCACTCTGTGGACGGTCACTACAAGTACCCGAAGTCCTCTGGAGGCCTCCAGAGGCCGCCAGAGGCCTCCAGAAGCCTAAAGAAGCGCTCAAAAACACCGACCGCCAAATCACCACGACGTCGAAGACGACGACGACGACGACGACGACGACGACGACGACAACGACGGCGACGGCGACGGCGGCGGCGGCGGCGGCCGCGGCGGCGGCGGCGGCGGTGGCCGCCCAAGTCCTCCATCTCGGGTCTGAGGCCCTGGATGGAATGCACGCCGTAGCCTCGGAGCGGGCAGCGGGGGGGGCGGTGCCCCGTTGCTAGTGGGCCGCGGCCGTCGCGCGCGGTCGCCGCCCAGCCGCCGCCAAGCGGGGGGGCGCTCCGACGGCCGAGTCCCACGAACGATGTGTTGGGCAACCACATGTGAACCCCTTCCATGAGCCGAAAGCGATTGGCCTCCTCCTCCCTCCTCCCCCATCCTCTGCATTCGTGCGGTGTTATATTGCCCGAGGCCATGGCTCACTGCAAGAATTTGCTTGTTGCAGGTCGGCCCGTGTGGTGTTCCCTGTTTGCCTGGAGACCTTCTGACTCGCCCAGCCCAATTAAGCCCAACAGGTCAGAATTCTTGGTTTTTGATGTTAAATACCCCTGCCGGTAAGATTTCTAAATCGCCAGCTGGAGTGCAAAATCCCACCAGCCCTCTGGGCGGATGTGGTTTCGAGAGCCCGTTCTGCTCCACCCCCGCCTTACTTCTTATGACTAAACACTCCCAAAACCCCTCCTACGTAGCCGGCCGATAACAACCCCGCCGTCCGAACTGTAAAACAATCCAAGCTCATTTTTTTCCCCGCCAACATGTCGTCGAATTGCGAAAAATATAGCGGGAATGGGACGGAATGAGCATCGCATGGGTGGCCGTGTCCTACCTATCAAAAAATACAAAGTCAACGTGATTCTCGACAACATGGACTTTCTTGTCGTCGACGCTGCGGAAATCTCGCAGGAATAAGATGGAATGAGCATCGCTCGGGTAACCCTACGGGGTGGTCACGTCCTACCTATCAAAAACATTACGAAATAAACGTTGTCCTCGGCAACCTGGGCTTTCTTGTCGACGCTGCAAAAAAAAAAAAAAAAAAAAAAAAAAAAAAATGGGACGCGGCGCGCATCGCGCGCGGACGCCTGGCCAACCCTACGCGGGACCCCCCGTCCGACCTACCAACAAACACCGCAACGTCGACGTTTGTCTTGCCAACATGTGTTTTCTCCTCGTCGGCGCTGCGAACCGCTAGCGGGAATGGGACGCGGCGCACATCGCGCGGGGACGCCTGCTCGTCAACATGGACTTTCTTGTCGTCGACGCTGCGGCCCGTCGGGCTGAGCTGGGCGGGCGGCAAGTCAGAATGCCTCAAGCAAGTGCGATCCAAGGAAAGTGCGTCAAGAGACCCAGCGAGGCGGTGGTGTGCTTCCTGCAGGGTGGAAATGCCCACTACGTCCCATCGTCGAGCTGCGCGTGTCACTATGTGGGTGGATATCCCGGCGGCCTCGAAGACGCCTCGTAGGGTGTCTCTGCCCCCCCCCCCCTGTGACTGACCCCCAAATGAAAAGGGCCAGGATCCTGCTCCAGGTCAGATTGCTAGGTATACTGTCGTTCGCAACCTGCGCGCGGATGACCATGATTTCCTGCAGGGGGCGGCGGGCGCTGCCCCACCTTTCTGGGGACGGTTGGGCGAACCAATGTTCGGCCGTCGTTCCTCGATTGTTCGATTGTCGGCGTCTCCGCCCATCCCCGCTCGCTGGTTGGCTCTGTCGGGGACGGGGGCGCCCCTCCCGCGGTGCCTGGTTCGGAGCGTTATTGCGAGGCGCATCGCGGCTCCACAGGGGCTGCCCGGGGCGAGCTGGTCCGCGATGAGTCCCCCGTCCCTCCTGGCGGTGGCAATGAGGGCAGCGCAGGCTACTTCTGTCGGCTCTACGCCCACGCCCTGCGCCCCGGGGGGATGCTCGCCAGCTGCTACGACCCCAAAAGCTTGGTCGAGGAAGCCCTCCCCCTAATTATCTCGCCTCGGAGCCAGTCGGCGTCTTCCGTGGTGATACTGTTGATGCCCAAGTGGAATATCATCCTTAGGCCTTCCGCGTTGGCCCCTGCGCTTGCAGGGTCGAGAGGCCGGGTCGGCGCCGCTATGCGGGGGAGCTGGGCGAGGCTTCTGGGCACCCACTCACGTAGTGAACGGCCGGAGGGGGCCCCCCTGATACGGTCGCGAATCTGCGCCGCTGCCTCTAGGGCCCATCCCTGCGGGGCGCTACAAAGTCAGGCGAGGGCGCTCACTGCGGTTCTGAGCATCGGTTCGCCCCCTAGGCCCGAGCCCCCCTGTCTGGAATCGGGTGCCACGACTCGCTCGGGTTGTCCGTCATGTGGCGCCATGTCGCTAGTAGCTCCGCGATTAGCCAGGTTGGAGAGTAGCTAGCGGTCTCCGGCAAGTGGTCTGGGGAGCAAATGTGGCTGGTTATGGGAGCGTATCGCGCTCCTACTCTAGCCAGCTGGTAGGCGAGCTGCTTGCCCAAGGTGTCGAGGGGGTCTCCTGGTGCTTCCGCGCTGTCGGAGTAGAATCCGTCTACCGCTAGACACCATGGCGTGGCTAGCCTGTGGCAGACGATGCACATGGGGCCTTGGGGGCCCCGCGCAAGCCAGCAGCCACAGTACCCGCATCTGGTGGATGGGTGGAAGAAGTCCCCGAACTTTACCATGTGGGACGTATTGTTTCGGGGCCAGGGCTCCTCTGGTGCGTCATTGCCCTCGAGTATGACTCCTGGGATGCCCGGGGGGCGCGGTCCTGCGCCTGGCATGGCCGGGGCTGCCGAGGCGTTGGGTCCTGTACCGTGCTGCCCTATGGACATGACGTCGTCGCCCGCCTCGATCCATTGCCCTCTGTCCACCGCCCAATTCCTGACCTCCCTGTGGTCTGGGAAGTGCACCCAACTCCGGCGATGCTCATGGATGAAGTAACGGCATATTTTGACCCTGTGTTCGAGGTTCGTTTCCGCGTCTCTCAAGTCAGGGGCCGCGTCGCGCCGCCATCTTGAGAGTCCTAGCATGGAGTCTGGGAGGAGGTCGTCAGTCGGGTCTCTCATACCGATGTCCGCGCATAGGGCCGCGTAGTGGAGGGCGTCGCATTGAAGGTGGGCCGCGTATAGGTATGCATCGCTTGGGCTGTCGCAATCCAATCTCTCCATATCAATATCGGGGCCCTGGGTCAGGCTCGCGCAACGGAAGGCGAGCACCTGCACAGGGTTTGGGCCGACACCTCCCAGCCTCGCCTCGTGGTCGGAGCCTGTCATGGACCACGCGAGCCAGGGGGGGGTCGAGCTGGGCCAGTGCCGGGCCGACGGCGCAATAACGCGGGGGGTTCCTTGATCGGCCCGGGCCCTCCGATCAGGCGCAGCCCTGAGAGGATTGGGAGCGCCCCCCGCCGGGCGAGGCTCTGGACTGACTCCAGGGTGCCCGGGGGGGCGGCGGTTCCAACAGAAGCTTACCAGGCTCGAGGCCCTGGCGCATCGTCTGGTCGAGGGCCGCTCTCCTGGGAAGATCCCTCCACGGGCCCACCCGAGGTTCGTGGTGGGCCACGAGAGCCGCGAGTGCGCCTCCTCGCTTGGCGCCCCTCGGATCAGCGACCCTTGGGGCCAGGAAGGGCGCATCTGCATCTCGGCCCCCGCATCGCCGCGGGCGGTATTGGAGCCTATCGGCACCGGGGCCGCAGCGGCAGCTAGGGGGCCCCTGCCTAGCTGGCGAGCGTTCCCCGTCTGAACTGCACGGGCGGCGCTGCCAGTGTCCAGGATCGCCCTGAGACGGGCGGCGGCTATGGCCATCCTGTCTGCGCTGGCTTGGGCCTGGCGGCGGTGGCGAGGGGAGACCTGGAGGAGGGGCGATCGGGCGATCTCGGGCGGCAGGATCCTATCTGGCCTCGATCGCGTCGGGGTCCCCCCAGGCGCTGTGCACGTCGCTGTCAGGGGTGCTTCCACTGGGCTCGCATGCCTCGAGGAGCCACTCCCAGTCGATCTCTTCCTGAGCCCGCCGCGGGCCTTACGGCGCGGCCCTCGCTGGGCGCGCGCACCGCGCCCGCACCTGCCAGGGGAGGGGGGGCCGGAAGCGAGTCAGGGGAGGGGCGCGATGGGGGGGGGAGCGGATAGCGCCTCCCCTGAACTGACGCGGCCCTGTTCTACTGAGTCCTGAGGTGGGCGCTCTCGTAGGCCTTGCGGCCCCTCGGAGTGCCCATCCCAGTTGGTCGCGCGCACTGGCCCTGAGTTGCGGTGGCAAGGGGGTCGCAGCTAACCGCCGCAGAATACTCTCTATCATTGTCTCGGGGGTCGCAGCTAACCGCCGCTGAGTTTATTCTTTCATTCGCACGGAGGTCGCAACTAACCGCCGCTGGAATCACCATTTGTTGGTGGGTGCCTTCATCTCCGCTGCCAGAATGTACCTCGGGGGCGTGGCTAGCCACTGTCTGAGGAGATATGGGCGCATGCTCTTCGGGGGGGCGGACGACGTCCTCCGCAGCTGTGAGCTGTTGCGCCTCCTCTTGGCACGCCCTGGGGTTCACCGCACCTGCTGCTCCTCGGTGCCCCCCTGGGTCGCCATTGCCCGCCTTAGAGGGTTGGATGGTCTCTACTGCCGGTGGTAGAGGATCCTAGGCGGCCCCGAGGCGGGGCGGGGGGAGGAGGGCGGCGTGGGCGGGACGGGGATCGAAATGGGGTCTGGAGTGGGGATGGCGGGAGTCGGACCAAGACCCCCCCGAACCTGAACGTCCATCTCCCCATCTCTGTCGTTCTCGTCTGGTCCGCCGCCCCCTCTTTCCTCAGCAGGCCTCGCCTGGGGCTGAGGGCCTCTCTGGGGGTCTGTCGCCTCGTCACATCCCCGCCTGGATTGTCGCCGTATCCCGATGAGCAGCGAACCTGAACTGGCCCTGGGACGCTGTGCGGCAGTGCGGGGGGCATCCTGGACTCAATTGGGGTGGGGTCCTGGTCTGGCCCGCAGATGGTGGGGGGCTGTCGCCCGCGGGGAGCCTGTATCTGAACTGGGTCTGAAGGGGGTTCAACCGAAGCCAGTGCCTGGGCTCCCGCGCCACGCACTGTGTGATCCCCACCTCCCTCAGAACGTTCCAAACAATCCAATCCCCGCCCTCCATGCACTGCTAGTGCCGGGGAGGGGGGGGGGCCGCTAAGCACCGCGCTGCCTGCTGCGAGAGGGCCCAGCTGAGCCGCGGGCGGCGCGCCAGGGGGGCAGCTGCAATGGCGCGGGCGCTCCGCGGGCCCGGGCGTGGCGCAGCGTCGGGCGCCCCCTTGAACACGGGAGACTGGCCCGAGGGAGCCAGGCCCGTGAGATGGTTTGAGCCAGGGCTACGGAGCTGGTGGGGATACGCGAAGCGTGAACAAATCGGAGGATGTCTGCAGCCATGTGAACCCCAGCGGGGGTGTCCGATACCCCAGCGTCGATTGGACCCGCAGGGAAAGGGTTGGCAAGTGCTCGCAGATGCACGCGACCTCCCAAGGTCCTGAAGGAACAGGGTCCCAATTGTTTTCGCCGCTTTCGGTTCCCTGGGGCCCCAAGAACGTCGAGAAACGACTCAAGACGGAAAATGTGTCCTGGAGAGCGTCCCGGAAACCAGGACCCGTTTCACTCAGGACGCATTCCTTCGTGGCGATACACCTTCTCGGTTTGGGCAGGAAGCTATGAACGCCCATCCTGGGCCCAGGCACATCCAGGGCGCAGGATCGCTGCAAGCGTACAACTGGCGACCTCTCTGGCACGCTCCACCGGCGCACCGCGACGCCTTCAGAGGCACTGGGCGGCTTGCATTCGACGGCGCGGGAAGAAATCACGACGCCGCAACACACAAAAAAGACAGGAATCTTGATTTGGCCTGCTCCAGAACCGTGAGTCCAAAAATGATGACGTCTCATGACACGCTTACCTCCGCCAGGGGCACGCCGCTGTGTTGCTTCCGCAAGCTTCCGCCTCCGCCGAAACCGAGAGGCGCCGAAGGCGAGGCCATTGCTGGAGCGCCCCCGCTTGTTCGTGGCGTCAGGATTCCTCCACCGCCGGCGGATGGGCATCGAACCCCGGGTGCCCAGGGTCTCGTGCACATCTGGCCACACGCAGGGCGCGCGCGATGGCAAGAACGGTGCTCTTCTTTCCGCCTCGTGTGCTGGCCAACAGTTGTGTTTTTTCGTGGGGAGGGCGCCCGTCGCCGCCTCGGCACCAACCCGTGCGTCACCTGTCGTGCACCACACAGGCTGCACAACAAGGGTCCTCCTGAGAAGAACGAGTGCAATCGGAGTTCCCCACACAAGGATGCTAAGGCTTCGCGAGCTCAAGAGGACATTAAAGTAGCAATATGAGCGGGAGGTTCATGGCATTGATACGCACGCATGAAGAGCTAAGAAAGGAGGGGAAGGAGGACGGGAAAGGGACAGGGAGATGGACAGGGAATGGGACGAGGAGAACGAAAGATAGGGAGGGAGGAAGAGGAACGAACAAGAAGACATGGGAGAATAGAGAAGGCGTGCCGCGGTCTAGCGGGGACTCCCTGAAATCTGACAGCACTGGCACGTGTGGCGGGAGCAGCAGGGGGGCACCGCTAACGCGGCGCGGTCCCACAAGGCCTCCCAGGAAAGGGAAACGCGGCATTGGTGGGAAAGGCATGAACCATAATGATTAACATGGTATCCGCATAGACCGCCTCCTCCTCATCATCATCCGAACTGGACGGGAGATGGTGAGGGAATGCGAGTCGAAAGAGGACGGAAAGTGGGCAGGGAGTGGGACGAGGAAAATGAAAGATAGGGAGGGAGTGGGAGCAACGAACAAGAAGAGATGGGAGAATACAGAAGACCTGCCGCGGGTTAGCGGGGGCTCCCTTGAAATCTGACAGGTTTCGCATAGCCCGCGCAGTCCGACGCGGCCGCCCTGGAGGTAGAGGCTGTGCTACCGTTGAGGCTGGTGGGAGCTGGACGGCACGACTCCTGATAAATAACACGGGTTTCGCGTAACCCGCGCAGTCCGACGCGGCCTCCCTGGAGGTAGAATATGTGACTGGGCATGGGGAAGAGTCCCCAGTGCGAAAAAAGCAGGAGGCGTCGATCTGCTGAGGCCGTCTCTTTCGGGCCCGCGCAACAAAAAACGCGAGGACGGAGAGGAGGGAGGAGGAAGAAGGGAGCCCTCCCCTCGAACCTCGATCCAAATCCCCTCCCCTCCCCTCCCTCCCTCGCATCTCGATCCTCCTCATTCCCCTGAGGAGGACGAACCCGGGAAGGAGCTGCACCCCCTCGCGCCCAGCCCAGACGCCAGAGAACGATCGGCAGGAGGCGAACGATCGATGAGCGGGGGGACGGGGAGGCGGAGGGAGAGTCCAAACGCCCTCCCTCCGTCCCCCGCTCCCCCGCACCCCGCCCATCCCCACCCCCCACATCCTCCCTCCATCCCTCCCTCCCTCCCAAAAGGGCCCAAGGGCACCCGAAGGGGTCCCAGCCCCCGTCACTCGGGGGGACCCCCTGGCGTCAGGATTCATCCCCTTCGTCGTCGTCGACGTCGGCGGCGGGCGGGCGGGCAGGCGAAGGCGGCGGCGGCGGCGGCGCCGGCGCCGGCGGG